TGGACTAGTGATTGTTAAAGTTATGAGCTTGAGCGAAGATGGAGGTTGTAGTGGAATCAGTGTCGGCGGTTAGACTGATGCAGTAAGTCTTGTATGGGGCTGTGAGAGGAAGATCCGAGTGGAAACAACTGTATTTAGATGTATGGTTCTGAGTAAAATCGAGATGATAAGAGTGAGATTGCGTGTTTGCATATCTTATCAACCGTGATTTTTGACCAGTATTTATCAATCTCCATGGATCGTAAGTTATGATCCATATAGATGTAGATCTATGTACATACACATATATGGGCCAGGAATATAAAGCTAAATACATGTGTATTGGTAATAGATACGAGAAAACTATAACCTGCATTTGAGACATAGTCATCTGCTGGAATGCTAGTGTGAAATAAACGCTAATGCGCATTAAACTTTCGGTGAATGATGTATTGATAACAGTGATATAGAATGGGGAATTTGATAGTCAAATTAGCCGGACTTACTAATAAGTTATTCTTGGCATTCCAAGATATATCATATTTCAACACTGATCAGTGTCGATTGGCCTTATTGTTGGAAAACCGGTATGGGTTCGATGATTAGGGCGGCTCAAAGAATATGGGCGCGATTTTATGAATAGAATAATAATGATATGAATCGGGAGAATATGTGATAAACTGTGGAGAAATAAAAGATGGTTTGAATAAATTGATTTGATTTGATTATCTGTCTTAGTGATTCCTAGACAGCTTATATACATGTAATCTTGATAGACCAAATCCAGACTAGATACCATCCATCACTCGTTCCATACTCTAACACTGACAATGAAACGCACGACAGTATACAATATGAGTATGGGGTCAGGATCGGTGGATGAAAGCCTACACGTGTATCAGACCATACCATGCACTATTCGAGTCTCAAGCATCAAACATGCTCAGTAAGGGAGATATCAATCATCTAGGTCGTGAGTCATGTGTGAGAATCTTAGTTGTTCCAATCATGGGAAACTTCAGACACATAGAGTCTGAATTTCCAACACTTATTTTACGTATGCGTAAGGTTATTTCGATGCAAAACAAAAGGTACGAAAGTGAGATATTGATTCTTGTTGTTATTCTATCTATGAATACCGCAAACATCCAGTTCGCGGTATTGGCTGAGTCATCAAAACAATGACTCAGCAACAAAGAGACGCACCCCGCTAAGCGCCTAGTAAAAGACATACATTCCAACATTCCAACATTTATATATTTATTTATTTATATATATATATATATTACCATCACCTAAGTGAACTCACAGTAGCCCCATGCAGATTAACCTAGTCCGCTTGAATATCCATCAGAATACGTACAATAGAACGTAATAGAAATCAATTTAAGTCCCTAATGAGTCTTTGACTAAGAAGGACTGCTAAAATCAGATAAAATGCTACCCAAATTTACTTGTTTTAATTTACAGATTACTTTAAATTTTTTCCAATAGACACTGAGTGTCACAGTTTGAACGTTGTATGAGCTTAGGTGGATACCTAAGCGTAATACTTAGATTGTTTACAATAAGGTCGCACGGGGAGGGGAAGATGGAACTAGACGAAACGATAATACTAATCAGGACGCAAGATCGCTGTTACAACTAAGTAACACCCAACGATACGTGGCTAGTTAACGAGTATGATGTCTGGAGGAAAACCATCAGTTAGTAGATACACGCAGCAGATCAGTCATTATAAGTACCTGTTAGTTGTAGCTAGAGTTCTCTTCTCTCCTCATATAGTTTAATAAATCGACTTATTCATCACCAACTCGGTTTCCGTCACACTGAGGGTTAGAATACGTAAAGATATTAAGTAAAAATAGCTTTGTTAGCCACCTTTTTTAATCAAAGTATATTCAGCTATGATACATTATTTATACAAATTATATCCCCCAAACTCCATCCCTACATAAAATTCCTCAATTACTTGTTAATATCCAATTGATATTTCCTGTTTTAATATCTTTTATGTGCTAACATACACTTGGATGTTTCCAAATTTTGAAGAAGAGCTTCCTTTCCTATCTTTGTTCGAAATAATATTGGAATTGTGCTTGACCCTATTCCCTGAAAACATCCGTTTCTTTGGTCTATGAATTCTGGACAATGTTATGGTAGGTGTTGCACATTCTACCTTTCTTTCCTACAAAAATTGAATATTTTATCTTCGACTTTTCCTATCATGTGCAAATATACCCGTGTATTTCCGATTCCAGGTTTTACCTGGAAGTTGTTAGCCACTTTTTGACATTTTCTGCTTCTACTTTCTTAACGCACCAACCAAGTGACAATTTTGGTGAATATCTTGGACTGTACAGCTTTCCGGACCCTCCGAAGCTGGAGTCTATCGCATCCTATTTGTAGAGGAATTCAGTACCGTTCGGAACCGTGTAAGGGCAGTCTCTCTATCTTCCGTGTATTTGAAGCCACCTGACGGAATCCTTTGGGTCCTCATTTTTCTGAAAAACAAGGGGATGTCATTTATCTAATCGTCGTACACGTGCAGCGGCTCGCCAAAGTTTTCAAGCAATTTTTCCGCCGGAGGGATACCTACCTCGCAGTTGGGGGCCATATTCGTGGTGGTTCGCTAGACTGGTAATGCCGCTCCTGTTGCTCATAAAGTACGGGTGAGTAGGTGAATGAATTTTAATTCGTGTCGGATACAGGTCTAGCACTCAAAGAGCATAACACGGAGAAGACTAGTTCTTCCCAGACGACAATATACGACGATAACTCAGTATGATATTTGGACCACTCATGTATTGGGTGCATTTGCTGATACCATTCGAGATCTTGGTACTAATGACTTTCACCCTTCCCTCAACCGTTAATACCACCAAAGGGAAAGCAGGAAAAACCTTTGTCTACCCTAACATGCTTTTGTCATCTTGTATATACCCACGACGCGAGATATGACCTCACATTCCTCCCTTTCTCGAGCGAGGTAGGCGTCCGGGCTAACTATACTTTAATTCGGGGAGATGATGACCAGGAAGCGGGAAACAACACTTCCCGTGGAGGGTAAGACTGGACACCTGTACGCGGTGTCCTCTACGAACCTGGGAGTGAAATATTCTCCCAGAGCCAAGTTCAGTCAAATTTAGCTATACCGAACAAGTTGGCCCATGAGAAAATGACTTAAAATACTCCGCCACGTCGTTTTTTCGCTCCCAACGAGTTCGAATCCTATCCAAGCCTCATCAAGTCTACAAGTACGAAGAAGTTCATCCTCATCCCAACGACCACACCACTCTTCGACCTTCTCTGGCCTCGGCTGGTCACCAAATACACGCCCACGCCGATATTTATACCCGACGGAGGAAGCAAAGCGTGGAGCACAGATCTGGGAGATAGCTCTTTGGTATGGACGTGAGAGGGATCAGGAAAAGTTTACAAGATGATGCAGAAGAGGGATACGTTTTCGACGGACGTGAAATTTCGAATTTTGGCAAGAGTTTTACGAATTGAGCTCCGTGCGCGCCAAGACTTCGCTTGCGAGAGTGCAGGCGACACTATAAACACCGCTATAGTTGGATAGTGCGGCAGTACATCGTCTTGGCCGGTCTGCCAAATAGAGTCTGGATAGCTTGGACATATATCCCACTTGAGACAGTAGATGGCTGTTTCAAATCCGGCAAAACACAACCACATTTCTCGCGGCGCTGGTATGCATGGATGACGAAGGCATACTTGGATAACCAAAGGTTTTGTAACGTCCCTTTGGTGGGTACTTACGGAGGAGGGTCGACTGTTTGTGTAAGCGAACATACCTCATAGCGGTATTTTCGAATGAAATCTAGAGTATGAGTGTCTCTTATGTCAAAAGAGATATCCAACATGTATACATAGCACCGGTCATGTGTCATAGCTCTATGGCTGAATACACATTAAATGATTTAAAAAAAAAACACTTCCCGTGGTTGCATGTTTTTAAAGTGTCGGTCGCTCTATCCGAAATCGTAGCCTCTTTAACGGTTCCGGTATAGAAAGCTTGGGCGTTTGTATGTCGAAAGGTCAGTTATTTATTAACTGAAGAACAAAAGTAATGCTACATCTAACGCCCTATATATATACATGATTCCAATATTACTAACACTAGTAGCTGTCCTTTAGTCGTTCTCCCATTATTCGGGTGTGGGCTAGTTACCAACAACGTTTCAAACATGGGCAGTTCCAGACATTCAATACGAGCGTAACTTAGCGCTGACACTGTGAATATTTCTATTCTGAATAGCAAAGTATACAGGTATTCTATCGGCTTTCTAGCTGTCACAGCCTCGGCGCCCACAAACACCCTTTTGTCGAAAACATTCCAAAAATGTGAGTTCCAGTTTGCCCATTTGTGACCTTCTCGCTCGCTCGCTCCACGTCACAGCTGCCTGCCCTCCCTCAAGAGGTGAAGCCCCATCAGAGCAACGATCCCATATAGATCAAGACTCGCGCTTTGGGTATTATAACTTAGTTCCTCCTCGCGGGTTTACATAACATCGTAACTTTAAAGTGGGAGATGGTCGATTTCGATGAGGCAAATTCTCGATGGCAATTGGGGTAACGCTTTTATCAAAAGTGAAGGCGAGGTGGTGTAGGAAGATAGGTCAAACATTTGTTGAGAAGTCGTCGATTTCAGACATGCTTGAGGTTGCTTTCGAACTCGATTCGGATGCAGTTCTTCTTGGCTATCCCAGATATACATTGCATACTGAGCGATTATACCGGCAGCAATGAAAGATGAAGAATTTGTCTTTGCTGGCAATGTTCATAGGTGACTTTACAAAGTTCACAGCTACAGTATGGAACCTGGTTAGTGCATCCATGCAGAGGTTTTCATGTTGGGATCACATGATGTCACATCTACTTATACGCTCTGGATGAACCAACGCCCGTTGCAACACGTTACCTTGGAAAATGTGTTGTGCGCTGGCACGACGTAAAATAGTATACGAAACAAAAACACTCATTGTCAGAAAATAAAGTTTTTATTCATTATGCACAATATCAAATTTAAATTCACTTTCGCGTGCCGAAGACTTCTTTTCTTGTTTTTTGAATAATCCAGCCAAGAATTCGCTTGTGCTTGCTTCATCAATACTCTTGTCATTCCGTTTCTTTAAGAAGCGAGGAAATCTCAAACTTAAGCCACGCTCATCACTTACGAGCCCAATTGATGCAGTATATACTGGGCTGAGTGTAATATCAGCAAAGGTGAGCTCAAAAACCTCTTGCGGCTCGAACCAGACATCTGGGCTGCCTCCACTGTATTCAATATATCCAGGTTTGCTGGATAAAACGTTGGGACCATTTTCCCTATAAAATTCTTTGTTTTCTGCATAGAAAGAATCTGTAAATCCTGATATACACTTACACACTGCTTCTAATGAACCTGTTTCCTCATTGCGCACGGCAAAAAGAATCGGTGACCACCACTTAGACTTCCGGCCTTGACCATGCCATCCAGCTATCGGAATAAGGTCAAGTGTGTCAAATGTCGTACTGTAATCCTTTTTGACCTTGAGCCAGGAATTGAGGCGTTTATCCGGCTCATAAGTACACAGCAAATCTTTGCGGTTGTTCTTCTTTCTCAAATTCGGCCGTCTGGCTTCCACTATCTCCTTCGTTGTATTTGTAACCACCTTTCTAGAAACTGATTCTTCATAGGCATCCTGGCTGGAGATATCGGTCTTATTATCAAGTAATTTGACCATGATACCTTCACATTTATTTTCTGTCGCAGATTTGAAAAATTCAAGTACTTGATCCATATCTTGATCTACATTTTGATTCATGACATCAATACTTTTTACCATCGTAAATTGATTGGGAATTTCGACAAATAAATTCCGAAGAAGCGCACGTCGTTCTCTGAATGATTTTTCCAACAAAGACTGACCATTCAAAAACATAAGATCGAATGCGAATAAGCAGACTTGTATTGTGATATTTTCTATCTGCACATCTTTTCTCGCTCGATTCGATAGTGCTTGAAAAGACTTTATGTCTCCCGATGACTGACAAACAGCAACAACCTCACCTTCCAGGATGAAGCTTGAAACTCGGCTGCTTTTTATACTAGGAATAAGTGATACAAGATCAGGATATTTGTCGGTCATTATTTCCAGATGCCTAGAAAATATGGAGACAACTTCCCGATCATCACAATGAACTTGTGCTCTTTGGCCATCATATTTGTATTCACAACTAAATGGCTGTCCCTCTAGCTTTAGAAAGACGTCAGTTATATCGCGAGTTACATTCCCTAGCATGGGAAGAATAGGAATGTGAAGCTTAAGTCTGCATCGAGCTATGAGTTCATCACAAACACCAACCTGAAGGAGGTGAGTAACAAGTTCATTGTAGTTAGGCTGTTTGGCAAAGCAAGATTTTACTAATTCTTCTCCATTAGACCAAAATGTAGCTAAAGTTTCTTTGGACATTGAAGAAAGTTCCTGTGAGGATTTTAAGTGGAAGTTTACTCCAGTCGGGCATGATAGCTGAAATGCACGGGAGAGTGCAATTAGCATTGTAGTCCTTACAGCTCCTATACGCAACTGATTTCTTGTTAGATTCCATGTCAAGTCTAAAGATTAGGATACTTGCGTGTTGGCACAGAGTTCTTACAACGTAACGGCTCTCCTCGGCTCCACGTGCTTCTTGAAGTAAACGATCAACGATTCTCTGTTTAAACTCATTACTCCCATTGCCCTTTGCCATGGCTAATTGAACTAAAGATTGATAGACACCAATAATAGTCAGAGGTTTCGGTTTTTTGAGAGTGAACTTTTGTCTTTTTTTTGCTTCGAATGCTACATCCCCTGCGTCTCCACATTTCTTATACAAAGTTTTTAGAGACTTGGCGTCTAATCCATAAACATTTCTTAGCGCCTTAGATATAGCAGAACCACCAAGGCCTATCTCTAAGGACTGGTAGGGTGGAGAGATGGCATTAGTTGCGAGCCACACCTGAATATAATTTATTAGAAAACAGCGTCCTGGAGTCAACCAGAAATGATAATGACTTGTCATAAGTTAATTTGACCATACGTACAGCCGGAATTAGACTATTGGGATCTCCTTCTATGAGGAGTCGAAGAAGGTTAACCAAAGTATCTATTATTTTGATCCTACTTGAGGTCCCACTGATAAGCATAAAACATTTTGTTAAAAGCGAATAAGATAAATTGCCTCCTTTAGTGGTCGAATAATTCCTGAGCTCTTCTTTATAATTTGATGGTCTGAATTTCAAGGGACTTTCTCCAAATGGAATATTTGAGCCTTCTTCATCAGCCGTATTTTCGGTCAACTTTATAGATAAAGTTCTCTCTTTCTCGGTCGATAGAGACTTGATAATATTTTTGGAAGTTGGAGTTATCCCCATATCTTTATCACAGTACGAGCTGCTAATTTCCGAGAGGCAAGCCTCTTTACCAGTAGGTTGTGAGCCCGATGGAAGATTTTCAGGAATCTTACTTGATTTGTTGCAGTTAACCACTACTTCCTCTTGACACCATTCTGCTTGGAGTTTACGAGCAATCTCCTCATCGGTTTCTTGAGGAAACTTATCTGAGTCGGTAAGATTGTAATCAGGTAGCTTTTTATTCATATCAGGAACCCTTTTCGATTTATCGCAAGTCGTGGAAATATTTTCTCGATTCCATTTCGCTTGAAGCTCACGAGCAAACTCTTCGTCAGTTTTCGGGGGTACGTTTGTGATCTCTCTGTGGCCGTGTGGGAATGTTGAGGATTCAGTTAACAAGACATTATGTTGTTGCCTTCGAAAATAGTAATCGAGTCCGAGGTTACTATTATTGCCAATAGCCTTCCTCTTCTTGCCGGCCATGAAATCTAGTTCTCAGATTGATTTGTTATATCACGTGGTAATATTTGGATTGCATTAGATAATGTAGAAGGAGTTGTGATTCGTATGAGAGACGCCAGGCTTAGTGCGTCGGCAAAGGTCATAGAATCGCGGGCAACAAGAGGCGAGATCTACTCGAAGATGATGATTTAAACAAATCATAATATCAAGCATCTACAGTCCATATGAAATGATCACGACTCAATGAACCTTGGGGCGCAATTATCTGGAATGCATTTAGAGGCACCAGAAAGTGGAATCTGCAATCCAAAGATGGGCATTTCCAGCTTGGAGGAGGATTTGAGGATTGAAGACTATCTCAATGACAAGTTACAAACGATATCTGACTTAAACGGTATCGACGACTTGATTCATAATGTGGAAATTCAACAAAAGCAATTGAAAAGACAAGTATGTCTGAACTGCCCTTGATTAAGTAACTACACATGTGTTAATATAACGGTCTAGCTGCAAGATATTAGTGTCGAGTTAACTGAAGCCTTAATGGCGTCTAAAAATCGAGCCTCAGTTATACTGGAAAAGATAGAAGAATTTAAAACACAGCAGAAAAATGCAAACGAACATTTGGTGACAGTGTTATACCAGAATACCCCAGAATTAGCATTGTGCACGATCAAAAGTCCAATGGAACAGCTACGAAGAATCAAACTTACACACAAATACCTAGATCTGCTTAAAAATGTTGAACTACTCAAAGAAGAATCGCAAAAACACCTTCACATAGATCCAAAGCTGTCTTTAGAACCCTACATTCGGTTGAAAAATATTTCCAAATTGCTACAAAAATTACATGGTCCTACAGAAGGTTCTGCTGTTCATCTTGTAACTTATGTTCAAGAAAGTACTGCTCAATTGTTGGTAGAAATAGAGAAGATTTTGTGTCAAAAATTCGAAAAATTACTTGAAGATTCTCAATGGCCCAATTCTGAATATCTCGTCACGGACGAATGGAAAGAATACTTCAAAGCCCTTCTAGAACTGCAGATGTTAGATGAGACTAATGCCAAGGAATCACTAATTCTGCTCCCTATGAGGATTCTGACGCAAACCTTTGTCTTAAAATTTAGATATCACTTTATGAGTGATAAACCCACTAATCATCCAAACAGGCTTGGTGATTATTTCTTCGAATGGTTCCTGATGACGGTAGAAAAATGGGAATTATTTCTTCGAGGAAACGCAGGACCCCTATTAACTGCTCATTTTAGAGGAAGCCCGCTGTCAGGAAATAGTATTTACATAGATCCTGTTTCAGCCTTCATTACCTCACTACTTCCGGTGTTACGGGAAAAAGTTGAAAGCTTGTGTAAAAACATATCGTCACAGCCCCAACTAATGAGCCGATTTATAGCTCAAGTCATGGATTTTGACGATGCGCTGCGCTCCAAATTCGGATATGACGGAGGTAGTGTCGAAAATGGATGGTGCGGTCTAATAATGGATGTTCTGCCCTCATTATTTGAGGGCTGGTTTGCAGCAGAAAAAAAATTTGCACTTGACAGATATCACGAAATTGTTCTATCTAAAAATAGTGGTGAGATTGATTATGATACGTCGACTTTGGGAAAAACGAAATCATCATACGGTGCTACCCTGATCACAGACTTGATTGTAACTATCACATCAAAATATTGTAGGCTGCAGAAGTTTTCTCACAAAATGGCTTTCTTGACCGGTATACAAGCTGAAATACTGGATCTATACTTTGGTCGTCTAAGTGACGCTCTTGAATACTTTCAGACAGCAACATCAGCTATCGGTCGCACTTTGCATGGCGTTACCAAAGAAGAATTAGAGGAATTACAAGGAGTCAAGGGTCTTGACAAGCTATGCAGGGTATTTTGCAGCTCGGAGCATCTCATTTCTGAATTGAAAGACTGGTCCAATGAAGAAGTAAGATAACTCAAACAATTAAATTTCAACATGGAATATTCGAGCTAATTTTTTAAGTTTTTTATTGTTCTCTTCGATCAGCTACAAAATATGTTGGCATCAAACAACCAAGAAATTGAAGGCATTAACAGCGAAACTACCGGGATGATAAAAAAAAGTGTTTCATTATCACTGAATTCGGATAATGGCGGATCATTTTTTGGTATCTCTATAGAAGGGTTTGAACGTCTCAGAAATAAAGCTGAAGCTTTGATCAGCGAGGTCATTAATTACGAAATCCCGTCCCTTTTCCGCCCATATATTTTCCAGCCACATTGGACTATTGCAAGTGATTCTGTGACCTCAAGTAAGGACTCGCTAAGTACCATTTATTGGCTGACATGAAAGCTAACTAAGCAGACACTACCATAGACCTAATCAGCCCTGAACTAGATCAGCCGGTCCAGACATTGCAAATCTACGTGCAATTTCTCTGTCAGACCATAGCATATGCTCCATTCCGCCGTGTCATGCGTCATATACTTAAAAATATTGAAGACTTATTATGTAATGATTTGCTTTTTCATCGCAACTTTAGCTACCTTGGTTCCACACGGTTTTCCCGGGATGTATGTACAATCAATAAACTAATAAACAACTGGACATCACAGGTAAATCGATTACCATTTGACTTGCCCAAGTTGCGCGAAGGTACATTACTATTGAGCTTACCAGACAATCTTATATCGGAGGGGAAGAAATCTCTCAAGGAAGCCTTCCTAGCCTTATTTTCTAGCAATGAGGAAGCATCAGAAATGTTGAAAAATATGGGGCTGGCCCACTTATCAATATCTCAAGCTAGAACAATTGTAGGACGAAGAATTATTGAGAATTCTGAAGAGGATGAAAATTATTAAAAGCCTAGTTTTGATGCACCCCTACAGTTAAAACCTCAGGAATCCGAGGAAGAAACTCTCCCGATCCTAGATCTGTGGTAAATGGAGATCATAGTAGGCATATCTTCCCCCTCATAACATTTTCTTTGAACAGAAGCTGTAGTTTATTTAGCTTTGATCAAAAGATGCATTTTAGTTTTACATAGTTTAGTAGGACGTGCCTTATGTATGTATAAGTTAAAATGAAACGTAGCTCTATATAATTATATTTTGTTCTATCGGCAAGTCCAAAGCTTCTTCTCTTTGCTTTGGGTAAGCTCTAAGACTTGGACTTACCAATTTTGATCTCTCACGGCTGTCTAACGGCCTATTTTGAGTCCAATTTTTTGTATACTCCCAGCGTTAGGTCGTGAACAATTGTCGGTGCATAATAATAGAGTTTATATGCCTTTTATTTTTACTTGAAATTGAAGCTCGCTTAACATCGGCCAACCTTCAATGATAACTGCCGATATTGTAGAACTAGTGCACTGGTCTCCACAACAGAGCCGGCATGCTAAAGGTTGGATCCAATCTTATAAATCGCTACATTAAAAAAAGTACACTTCGCATCGGGCAAAGCTCTAACCACTCACATTCAGGGTATGTGAAATTGCGGACTTCTAAAACATAAATCATGTCCAACGTTGATGCGTCGGAGGTAAAAGAAACTGCAGTCAGTAGACAGCTCAAGGACTTACTCGCAGGCGCCACCGGGGGAGTTGCCCAGGTATTAATCGGTAAGCATTCACTGTTTGGGGTCTATTCACACTTTTTCTTTTTCGACTAAAAACGGTGCGTCTTTTTGACGCGAAAAAAACGAGTATTAAATGGAGCACAATAATAGCGCTAGCAACGGCAATTCGTTAAATAATTGTTGGCAGCTTTGGATGAATTTAAGCTCCGCACTGACGATATGTCAAGGCCAACCATTTGACATTATTAAAGTCCGTCTCCAGACCACAAATCAATACCCTAACGCACTTACTGCTGCCAAAAAGATCTTCGTACAGGAAGGAGCTTCAGCCTTCTACAAAGGGACTCTCACCCCGCTGATTGGCATAGGTGCATGCGTATCCATTCAGTTTGGTGCTTTCTATGAAGCTCGTCGTCGCCTTGAAGCCTACAATGCCTTAAAAACGCCTCTGAAGCCAGATCTCTCTTACACGCAGTATTATGCTGCGGGCGCTTTTGCAGGGCTTGCAAACTCGGTGATATCTGGCCCTATTGAGCATGTGCGAATTCGACTACAAACTCAACCACATGGGCACGGTAAACTTTACTCAGGACCTTTAGACTGCGTTCGAAAACTTTGCACAAGAGCTGGAATTAGGAACGGTCTCTATCGCGGTGAGATGGTTACGATCTTGAGAGAGGCCCAGGCTTATGGTGTGTGGTTTCTTGCATTTGAATACATGATGAACGCAGATGTATCCAGAAATAAGATCGAGCGGCACGAAATTTCTAGCTCCAAAGTCGCTCTCTATGGCGGCTTGGCTGGGGAAGCGCTATGGCTATCTTGTTACCCATTTGACGTGGTTAAAAGCAAAATGCAGTGCGATGACCTCGGCACTGGTATGAGATACAAAGGAATGCGAAATTGTTTCCAACAGACATACAAAGTAGAGGGAATCCTTGGATTCTGGAAGGGCATAGGACCTACTTTGTTAAGGGCAATGCCTGTTAGTGCAGGCACATTTGCCGTGGTTGAATTCACAATGAGAGCACTTTCTGCTTAACAAAATAAGATGTATGGAATTACCTATAAAAGTAAGAAAAGTTTGATCTCATGAACAGACTGCTGTGTCAGGCCAAAAATTAGTGTTATCCAAAGCATGATACTCCACCACGTACCATAAGAAAATAAAAAATTTTGAGCCTATTCACGGACAGAATGATGTTCACACTGGCATATGACTAATTGGGAAATTTTGAATCAAAAGCCTCCAAGGTCTTGCTAAGTAATATGTAATTGAAATTTTAAGCTTCGATACTAATAGATCAGTTTTTACAATCATGGATATAAGTTCTTGCATCGCATTATTATCAAAGCAAACTAACTATACTCATGTTCAGGTCCCTATCCAATATTTTACAGTGAAGTAAACTAATATGACGTTTCTGAATTAGGCTATATAGAACACCCACGTCCTTTCTACTTACAGGCCAAGGATGCCTTGGTTTGTAGTACATCCCCTTCTGTGCCTCCCATACAGCTCCTCTTAAGCAGTGTCACCCCTCACAAGTTCTAATTCGATCATACACTTAGAGGAGCCCTTTGACCTCCATTATCTCCACTCTCTAGCCAACAAAACAATAGCCATTTGCAACTGTATGGCAGCCGAGAAAATTTGCAAAAATTACCGGGTGCAGTGCTCTTCTAATACCGATATTAGAACTAAATCCGAAGACTTATCTACTCTTTTCAAGCGTTGGAAGAGGCCGGCCAGCTGGGCGCTGCAGAATTGTGGGTACTTCGGGAAATTCATCCTCTGCCTTTCTAGCTTCCTTCTAACTCCTTCCCAAAGGTCGTATTATAATCACAGAAAAGATTTTACACAGCGTGATTGCTGCATAGTAGTTTAGCCTTACTCCTTTTGTGCCGTCTGGGATACTGGCGACTGCCAGAAACTCGTTGACGATAGTAGTCCTCTCGGCTAATTGCCTTAAGCCACACTTTTGGTATGACAAATATTCTAAAATCAAAAACACCTCGAAAAAGTCAGTCCCAGCATGCCAATCATAGAACCCTTCCCTCTCTCGTTGCAAATCCTATTTGCCTTTACTCCTTCACGATATGTAGGAAAATTAGAGCAACGATCCATCATAAATCAAGATCAGAGCTTTTTACGTTGTGACTTAATCTCCCCCTTGCAGGTATGCGTAATGTCGTAATCTTGTGCCGGGTGATGGCTCTTGAATAATGGTGCAAGCTCCCGTTTGCAATTTTAGCAATTACTTTACATGTCGTTGAAGCGGGGTCATATGTAGTTGGATTGAGGCTAGAGACTCAAGAAAGAATGGTAAGATCAATAGTGATCAGAACTCGTCGATTTTTGATATGCTCGTGTTTGCCTTCGACTTCGATTCGGATGCGATTGTTTTTGGCTTTACTGGATAGACAGAGCATACTAAATGATTAAACCGGCATCTCTGGAAGGTGAAGAATTCGTCGATGCCAGCAATCTTCTATGGTTGCAATTGTAGTCAACTTGAATATCCAGGAACTCTCCTATCACATATTATCTCAACAAGTTGGAAGGACTTTGTAAACAAGTGCTAATGAGTATCCGCACATAATCTGGATGGAAACTACTTTATCGTTATATCATTAAAGACTCTAACGCGGTCCTAGTCCTTTTCTGGATGCATCAGCTATGGTATCCCAGTCTAAGTCATCTACTTTTCGCGTTCTGTTAACTTGGAGCGAAAGAAATCCTGAGAAGTTTCCAGTAGCAATTAGTCTCATCATTAGAATATCCGCCGCTTTTTCAGATTCCCTGCCTTCACCCTCTGTTAAGTATTCTTCAAACCAAGAAGTTTCTTGGGAGGTAAAAGGAAGGTTGACTAGCTCCATACTTCTCACAGGTATTCTATTTCTAGTAGAATCATTTAGCACGGTAGCGATGAGCATCTCAAACATATTCCTCTGGGCACACTCATTGTGTTTCCGGCTAAAATAGAATGCTTCTGTTACACTTGACTTAGCAAAGGCCGAGAATAATATTTCTAGACCTTTTTCATTAGACAGTTGAGGTTGAATTGTGTGATAATAAGCAAGTGGCAAAGTCATGTCACCGCCCGAGGAATTTACCAATGTTTCCATTATTTCATTCGTGAATGATGGATTCAAAGATGGATGTGCTATGTATTGCAGTGCACACTATCGAAAGTTAGTCTTTGCAAAAATTTAAAGCAGAAATGTTGACAAACTTCAAATTGTTTTCGATCCATATACCATAGTCCCTTTGTCAGAATCTGATATTTTGGCGGCAAAGGAAATTCTTTTATTATTTCCGGGATTACATTTGATTCAGCAGCATGTTCATAGTCAAGAAGGATGTAGTAAAGAACTGATAGTTTGTGCTGGTCTGCACTATCTGATTCTATGATAGCTTTGTGGAGGGATTGAAGATCGTCATACGACTCTGGTGGATAGTGTTTAGAGGCTAGCATTTTAAAATCGTAAGTGACCGGCTTGGATTGATTCCTTCACAACGACGTACGCTTTTTTATTCCAAGGAAGATTATAAGTCTATCGATGAATAACCTTTCCAGACAAATACGATTTAATTGAATGTCATTAATCATATCATCATCATAGATATGTTTCTTCTCGGAACCGAAGATGTCCTCAAAGCTTGTAAAATCGATCATTGCGTGTCGTTGGTATAGGTGGTGACAAATCTTCTGTGGTCTGCGAGCTATGTTATTTATTATCCGTTTCGAAATTCAACTAAAATAGACCTACTAAGCCTACAAATTTGAAAAGAACGACCCGAAGATCCGAACCTCTAACTAAGGCCAATATACAGGTTAAGCTTCAAATTATGAAGTGCGAATATGCTTTCAATTATAAAATAGGATGGTTCAAGTACTTGACAGAAAAGAGATCAAATTTCATTCGCATCATGTTTTGACCACATAAAGAATAACCCATGCAGCTGTAAATAACAAATCTAAAAATACCCAGACTAATTCTGGTCTGACAACATTAAATCTTTTTAAATGGGGAAGCTACTTTAAGGAGCTCATCGTACTGTTGATTCGAGGGGTACGAATCTTAACTCTTACCAATGGCGCCCCCCAAGAACCTCCAGCTCTCACAGTAGAGTGTGCAGAGCCAATTTTAAGTAACACCCTGGTCCTCAGTTCCATGATGATTATCGCGAACTTTCGCATTCTGTATCGTCTATATCTCTCAACACAAACCCCTATCACGATCAGATTAGATGTTAGGGTCGAATTCCTTCTCATCACCACCCCTCAATCATGGGGGAAAAGCCATCCGATTAGTTTCCGGAGCGTGCCCAGCACCAGATACGGAGTTGGTGACTTGGATCAAGTTGGCCTCGACTGTTACAAAGAAGGGAGATGTATATGGATATGCGCACCTCATGTTGTCCCAGTGTCTAGGCCTCGCCTGGCTGGAGCTGCAAGTTTTTTGAAACTTTTCCCTGCGCACGCAGTTTCCATTACCAACATACTTTTTTTGGGTAGAAGGTTCTGTGAAAAAGGCGGCCGAATTTCATGGGTAAAAACTGAGTTGAATGGCTATTCATCAAGGGGAATATATCAATGATCTTACAAGAAACATGAGAGGCAAGGAGCACTGTACAAGGAGTGGCCTGGACCAGAGAGGAGCTCAATATGCTAGGTAGGCTATGACTCAAGTAGCGCAATAAACATATATCACTCTCTCGGGCTCAGGCTTCAATAGAGGGAGTTCACGCCTTTAATAACTGGACTCGTACCACATGTTTCTTTTTAGTGACACAACCGCTATTCCGACTAGACTTGGACCTAAGAACAAAAGGCTACAGAGCCTAAGTTTAACATGGATGTATTCTCTTTCTATTTATATACATTTTCCTGTAATTATCATCTGTGAATCACGGGGTCCGGTCAGAGGCTGAGATTCATGCATATTTGAATCTTCGAACGCAAGATGATTAGATTTTTGCCTTCTATTGCTACTATCGGATTATAATTTATTTCGAAGAATAGGACAGTGTGGCTAGAATTAGATTCGATAGTGTATATGGTTAAGCGAACTTGTTTTGTTTCTACAGATTTTGAATTCCCTAAAAATGTTGCAGCCTTGCTCGTACTAACTTACCACTGCTAGGCTCATTTATACACGAATATGAAACTACTTGTAAAACTTAGAGGGGCTTCGTGTAAATGTCACGTGAATCGTCAAGAATGTAAGAGAGAAAGTATGGAATTAATTTACTACTACGAGTCGAGCCTAGGACTATATTGTGTGAGTATTCCCTTGTGCGGGGTTGGATGGTGCAGTGGTACACCATCCGGGCCATTCTCCCAAGTAGATACTGAGTAGCCTGAACACCTACCCCATTTGAGACAGGAGAAAGCTGGTTCGAATCCAGTCAGACCCACACACCACTCTCTCTCGCGGTGATATTGTACTTGTGGGATGATGAAAGCACACTTGGATAGTCACAGGTTTTTCACGCTTTTCCATGTGGTGGGTATGCACGGAAGAGGTTATACGCCGTAAGGATTAATCTCGAGTGGTATCTGCAAATCAAATCTGAGTGTGAGTGTTCTAAACGTCAAATTGAGTGATCATACTCAAAGTACATATCTTCCGATAAAAACCTGTATGAACCTCAAGGCGCCTAATCCGGGTAAAAGAACTATATATATATATATATATATATATATTCCCTTGTGCGCTGCCTTGAGTATTGCCAGTAGCCAAATATCTGTGCGCGTAGATCTTACTTTCGCTTTTGGACTGGCGCGAAACCCAGACAAGCATAGGTCTGCTTACACGCCCTCTCAGTCCTTAAGCGAAAGTCCATCCATCAACCCTAGTTGTCCAGTGAAGCGCCGGAATAAATCAGCGCTAAGGGATTTTGTCAATCCGTCTGCAGGGTTATTTCTGGATTCGATCTGTCGGACAGCAATGTTGAGATCACGAATTTCTTGTACAATGTAATGGTAATTGACGCATATGTGGCGTCGGTCCGATGTCATGCCGTCGCTTGTAGCCAACTTGATAGCTCCCGTGTTATCCTCTAAAATTGGTATAGGGCCATCAGGCATCACACCCAGTTCGCCCAAGAAGCTTCGAATCCAGGTGCAATCCTTTGCAGCTTCGCACATGGCCACATACTCGGCCTCACAGGTCAGTGTGGAAACTGTACTCTGCAATTTTGATCATCAAATTACGGGACCTCCAGCCATGAATATTACGTATCCAGTCGTGGATTTTGCTGTATTGTGGTCATCCGCAAAACTAGAATCCACCGCACAAAACAATCCGTGTTCTCCAAACTCATTAAGGTGCCGGTGATTTTTCTCATAGAAAAAACCCCTCTCTGCGCAACCAGATAGGTAGTGAGGAATCTTCAACATGTGGTGCATGTGTTGAGGCGATGGGTTGCACATGAATCGTGCCACCTGAGATGTGGCCTGAGATGTGTCGCATCGAACCCTACCGGAGGAGAAGTTGTACTTGCCAACTAGCCTTTGGAACTCGTTCAGGTCTTTTGCAGTTGCCTTACTTGTGTTTCTTCTCATTTCTGCCATGCTACCTGGTGACATTGGGGTTTCGATAACTTTTCTAGAAATCCCGAATTCTTGGAAGAATCTCTCGAGGAATTGTTCCTGGTCTAATCTTACGCATCCAGTTGGCGATGATCTATGGATTCTGACGCCTAAGAACCAGTGTGCCTCACCTAAGTCGTTTAATGGGACTTCGCTGTTCAGAGATTGTGATAGTGACTTGAGGTCGCCCATATTTGGACCAAAAAACAGGAAATTGTCGACATAAGAGGCCACAATAATCCCCTTTATCTTGCTTATATAAATGGCGTTATCAGAAATCAAAGGTTTGTAGTCTCTATCCATCATGATGATGATGATATTTTTATCGTGACCGGGTACTGACCCAGCACCCAGGGGGCATGGCACGGGTAGTCCAGATCTATATAAGACTCTTCGCTACCTACATGATTGGTTCATAGGAACCAGAAATACAGAAACAAAAAAAAAAAAAAGGAAACACCATTTCTGAGGTGCTAGCGCCCTGCACTACACCTCCATCCTCGTGCCACACTGAGCGGCCCTAAGAAGCAATACAGCTGACATTCAAGTTCCCTGTTTATGATTCAATTTTGCTGTAACATTTTGTTACAGTTAGAAAGCGCCAGAATATCTGCCATCCTTCTTGCCCTATCATATCCCTTGTCGTAGGTCGTGGTTCCTTCGTTTCCGTCCTCCATTTCTGGATGGTCGGGCGACACTCTGCAAAATTCCATGGCCGTTTCTCTCGTCCGCATTTGCATCGCATTTCTTCATTCGGATGTTGAAATCGTCTGTGATAGCTAGCGAAATCGCCATGCCCAGTCCTTGCCGCAATGAGGCGGTGATATGCCCATCGAGGTAAAGCTAGCTCCGGAGGGCGTTTTCTTCGCATCAGTAAGTCCAGATCTTCATACCTGTCCGATCTATTTTTATGCCACCAATCTTCCGCGAGTTTCTGTACTCGTATTGTGACTTGGCGTTTAAGTGCTGCGAATGTCAGGACTTTGTCAGATTCCTCCTGAGTGCACTCTGGTCTCGGGATATTTCCTTCCCTGGTTTTTGATGCAAGGGCTGCCTTTGCAATTGCGTCGGCTTTATCGTTCCCTTCAACACCACTGTGTCCCGGAACCCAGTGGACTTCTACGGCAGGCTGAGCCTTGGATAGTTCAATAAAATTCCGGACCTCAGACTGTGAAGAGCTCGTTCTACCACTCACAAGGACTCTTACCGCCTCTTGATTGTCGAGGAGCACCTTGATACCTATACTACCTCCAATTTCCGACGCCGCTTCTAGGCCTCGAACTGCCCCGACGATTTCTGCATCAAAGACCTCTGCTCCTGGGAGAAAATTTCCACCACTCGCTATGAGTTCTCTGTCCCTGTATATAGCATAGCCATAGGCTGAGTATGCTGGACCAGTCGATGACCCATCAGAATATACACACAGCGTCCCTACAGGGAGATTTCTAAGCCAATGATTAGTCCGCTTCGACTTTTCCTCCTTGTCGCATTTGGCTCTAGCCATAGCCCTCGCGATCATTGGTTGGTAAAGCTGTCCAAGCCCTTCTGATGCCGGTAGGTTGAGGTTACCATTCTGAAGGCGTGTCAGATATCGCTCTGGAAACTTGAAGACATGATCTTTTTGCCCCTCTCTCAGTTTGAGTCGCTTAATTGCTTCCTTTGGTGTCTCAGCTGCCCTTGACAACAAAGGGTGATAGCTGTCGAAGCTGCGGATTCTGGCTGCATTTCGGAGCCGTCGCTGCTGTAGCATAATTTCTGCCTGTAGTATCCCTGACTCACGGTGCAGAACTATATTTGTTGTGGTTTGCCACACTGGCAGTGCGGCTCGAACAGCAGTCAAAATAGTTCTATCTAGTAACTTGAGGTGCCATCCGACACCCGTACTTACTCTTTTATCTCGTATCGTCGTGATACAGGTGAGTCCAGGCCATCAAGCTTCAGCGCCATAAATTGCCGTACTGACTACACATGCGTTCACTGCACGGATTAATGGTCCCGGAGCCGCACCTCGTTGGACCCTATTAATACTTCGTATAAAGTGAGATAGTTGTTGTGCCTTGCTACACCATTCCTGAACA